AAAAAGAAGTGATGACTTTTAAACAAACCTTTCGTTGGATTGACAAATTTTTTTGACTTGAAATTAGTGGAGAGCGATTTGATAAACAATATTTTTTGTTTTGTTATCCTGTGCAAAAATAAATAATGATGACGGCTTTCCCACACGCGAACAGGCTACGTATAGCTGGCCATGTGAAAAACATGGATATTCCAAGTTGAAATTTCGTCACCTCGTCGTTTGCATTCGGATCAGCAATGCCAAACACCGCCATGTCGCTCCCTTTGTTCACATATTTGCAAACGTATTTGATGGATTTGATAGAGTTGCAGTACTCAACATTGCAATGCGTTGAGAACGTTTTCGACAAAAGCGGGCAATATGGAACGATCCAGCGGTTATCCACGATTACTGTTACGTTTGTTTCGTTACGTTTCACCATTAATTCGATCCATTTGCCGTTATCATCTGGAGAACGACGCCTATACAATGGATATCCATCGTTTCCACTGATTGTTTCAGCCGTCAACGGACGGGGAAATCGTTTTGTGCAGTTTCCGTTTTTCATGCATACTGACTCTGGGTTGTGGACTCCGCAAGGGCCATGGATCATGCTCGTTGTCACAATGGAATGCAGCTCGGGATCAGTTTGCTTATCTGGTATTTCGGCTGAAATAATCGAATCAATATGATCTGGTCGGATCTTGTCGAACATCCAGAGCAGAATGTGCGCATGTGGTAAGCCACGCTTTTGCCACTCAACCGAGTACATCCAACAACGAACTGCGCCAAAAACCTTCTGCTTAACAATGTAATCCATAAGTACTGTGATCTTTTGCTTGAATACTCGTGCAGTGATGTCAGGTCGATCGCTGGATGTTTGTCCTGGAAGCAACAAATTGGTAATTTCGGGCCATTTCGGATTGCATGTGAAGGTGATGAATAAATCCGGGCGTCCGTAATTCCGGACATACGTCATCGCATCTTGAGCATACTCATGCATATGGCGCGGGCTTCCAACATAAGTAGCTGGGAGAATGGTCAAAAAACCGATGTTGGCCGCGTGTCCTTCAGTAGCGATTGCGTCACGCAAGTGGATGTACTCGTCTGAGCGCAACTTCGACTGATTAAAACGAATGAAATTGAGACGTTCCGTTTCTACTTTGACGTACATGTCGACACAGTACTGTTGAAACAAACGGCGGTATCTTAACAGATGATTGTCAACATCCAGTCGAATCATTAATCGATACGCATAAAAATTCATACAGCTAACCATCTTATTCGTTTCTTCTCCTAAAATTTGAATTCAAACTCAGTTGTAGAATTAAAGTGATACCCATCTTCTCCACGACAGAACATCAACGGGTATTGAAGAGCATCATAAGACCGATGAGTCTCATAAACTCGCTGCAATTGGCCATTATCCCGACGCTTAAGAACAATATCGCGTGATTCTACATTCTCGCCAACAATCACCACTGCGACTTCATTGATAGTGGGAGCATTAAATTGTCTTGCATGGCTACCAGTGGGTCTTTTGTCAGCGCTGATAATGATTTTATGTTCGTCATAATGCATTATATCCAATGCGGTTTTAAACAATCTGACCAATTCATTATGCTCATGGAGAAGGTTTTGCAATTTTTGAATAATTTCACGTTTAGTTGCAGTAAAAATTGCACAGCGGTGATTTAGTTCAACTTCTGAATCACCAATGAAATAGATCTGAAGGAATTTATGATCTTTGTTTTGTGGTGGTAACAAAGCGCCCGCTCGGTGGTGAATTTGCCCTTGAATCTGAATGTTGGGATGCAATTTTGAAAAAATGTGATAATAAAGAGACGCCATTACCTTATAACTTGGATTGTAGCCTGATTGTTGAACAACCTCGGCTCCAAAAGACGTCATTTGAAAGCATCCGTTATATTTTTGTGCAAGCTTCAGGAAACTGTTTGATTGGGCTGAGTTTCCATATAGTAGCGAGTACAAAGGCTCTGGTGGATGAGCCAAAACGGGCAATTTAATTTTGCCACCTGCACAGCATAAGCCGGGGGTTTCCAACCGAAACTTCAATGCATTACAATGCTGACATACAACAGATAATGAACCAATAACAACGCACGTAAGATCCTTGTAGAATGTTTCAGGATTGTATGCGAATGCAGCGCGATTCAAGTTTTCATTTGCGGCTCGTCTTCCTCTATTATTTTGTCGGGCTTGAGGTGGTCTTTGTGCAGTGCGAAGCTGTGCCATTTGGGCACGTATCGATGCATTTATTTCTGTACGTTCCTCTTGCGTCCGACTATTACGGAAATTCTGATTATTTATTGCACTGCGTGAACGCCGCCCAAGATTTGATCGTCTAACATCAGGCATTACTTCCAATTGTTTAAGCTCACTTTGGTAATGCTTCGTTAGCTCGATTTTTTTGTTTAAATATTTTTTTACCGAGTTCATTGATACACAATTTCAACGCAGCTATGATCTTTGTAGGGTGTTTCAGAATTTTACATACAACAGTGTGTCCATCTGTTGAGCCGCTAGCGACCTTTCCGGAAGGACTTTCCAAAATTTTCTTATGCTATAACCTTCTTCTGGCAATTACAAAAAACTGAAAAAAATTGAGCCAAATCGGCCCAGCCGTTCTCTTGTGATTTGATCGCTAATATTTTTTGTCTCCATTTTTATATATATAGATTCTTTTCAAGCGCAACTCCACAACCACTCACTAGTAATACCGCAGGATAAGGAGGATATTCAAATGAGACCAGACTATTACAAAGTCAAAAATACTGTTTACAGATACCAGATCTTATAAATTAAAAGATCCTAGATGTTATTTTTGTATATGGGATATTCAACAAATTTAATTAACTTAATCAACAAAAATATTCTAAACATAACACCAAGCTGGATGAATATGCTTCCAAGATTAATGCTATCAGACGAACTCTTTTTCGGGCTTACTCACATTGTTAACTAGTCGCTATGTATGATTGAATGCAATTTGTATGGCAACACTTACCCAAAGTGCTACTAAACAATTTATCTACATCTTTTGAAAAAACATTTGGGCAACTGAGAAAATCAAACCCAATTCAGGGGACAACAAGAAATAAAGGTAACTTCGGCTCCTCGAAATTTGTATACCCTTGCATTTTGCAATTGGACCATTGAGAATCGATTCCTTGTTGGTAAAATGAAAACGAAAAGTAACAGGAGATATATCCAACAACACATAAATAAAGAAAAGGACATGGCTAGATCATCTCGGCTGTTGATGCTGATCAAGAATATATATACTGAATATGGTAGGAAATGTCTGCTTCACTGCGTTGCACACTTCTGACTAAAATTACAATACCCTGCAAGGGTATAAAAAGCCCACGAAGCTTATGTGCTATTTGGGCCCGTCCAGAGTTTTACGACCAAAGGCAATAATCAAATATAATTTTTAACTATTTACGAGTACATTGCCGCACATTTACCATATAAATTATTAACATTAATGCTCAACACGGGCCAGGAATAATGCAAAAACCTTAGTGGGAGGAAGGAGGGCCACACGACAATGTGTATTAATGCCAAAGAGAAAAAGAGAAGGAAACTAGCAAATAATCAACCAGAGGCAAAATCAAAATTCCCCCTTTGCTCCGGCACCGCCTACACCGATTGAGTGATCATAAATATGTGAACATATAATGGGCGGCGAAAACTTATTGGCGACATTGCCTCTTGCCTTTGGGAACAAAAAGAAAAAATTGGCACTTGCCCTCGTCGGGAAAAGGTTTTAGTTAGGCAGTTGAATTTCGTTAAAGCTGGGAGAGCTAGTCAGTCTTTAATTACCATTCTTATTACGATAGCTCTTCAAAATCTTGAATCCGCAATCAGAGTGGCACGCACTCAAACCAATAAGCTACGTAAAGCGCATCTGACCACGGCTTAACTCATTTCCTAATCAATTAAATATTCCTATTTTAATGGCCCAGGCCTGAACGAATGAAAGGAAGCGAATTTGAGCGGACCATCCTTAGATGCGCTGCACTCTGCATCCTTTGTAAGTTCGTAATTACGTCTAATGAATTCTGTGAAATAAAATTGAAAGACCGTTCGGATTGTCCGGAAAATGTTTTCTTCTTAGGCCATCTATTGACCATCGCACTTCTCTCTTATTGGCGTTTGTCGTTTAACATTTTTTCGCTTTCATCTCGGCTTGGGTCCTCGTCTGTTTTCGTTTCCAATATATACCAGCAGAGCTTTGCAGGGAAAACCACTATTTAAATATTCAAAGTTCAAAAAGAGAACTTCAATTTTTCATTTTTTTTTATCTATTAAAATAACTACTTCTTATAATTTATCCAACACTTTAAATTGGCCAAATAATTATTGTGGCAGCAGTACCAACATCTTTTGAATATTGAAATAAAAGAACATTTACATATATGGGTTAAAAAGGGGCCCAAGGGGGACCAGAGGCATTTTCCAGTTTTCACTTGAAAGTGAAGTTAATAACCTTTTCCGATTTCCCCTTAAGATACACGAATATTCCTTGTTGATTTCAGGATTTAACAAATAAGTTTGCTTTGTCTACATTTTTTTTAGCAAGGAGCCGTATAAATTTTGCACCACTGTAGTATGCTGTCTATTGGAAGTAATGGAGTATTAACTAATTGGAGAAGCTGTACTGGTAGCAGTGTTTTGAAATAGTTTTGCCAAATACTGGAGAAGAGGACTGCCGAGCTCGGTGAAAAGTTTTCGGAAATTCGACTCCGTGTAGATATTTTGAAAGTGAACACCGGAACAGGCCTTAAAGCAATTTGTGAACCATACACAGTTGCGCAACTTAAGGAGAATGATGCCTCTAAAGCGGTACATGTCAAAATCTGCCAAGCTTGGTAAATTTGTCCCGCCATAATGTTTACCTATAATTATCTATCTAGACTCGAGATTCTAGAGTTAAAATAGGTTTTTCAAGAGCAGAATAATGACTGAGAAATAACAGAGAAAACGTTCGAAAATAAGCTTAATGAATTAAACCATTGTTTATTAAGCGTACTTCGATCAATTTTTTGGCATTCATTACAGAAGGATGTTGTTGCAACGCATGCCCGGTATCATGGGGCGCTCCTTGCGTTCAGTGATGTATTTTCCCCACACTTGGAGGAACTCGCTCTGCTTTCGCGCGTACAACGATGCCTGCCGGCAGAGCTCCACGCTAAAGATGTTGTCCAAGCAGAAAACAGGCCCCCTGATGTGGATGTGTCTATTTGTGATATAGATGTTCTGGCTGTGCTGGGAGGAGTCGGTCGAAAGGGGACAAAAATCCGGTATCCTGTGAAGCGGCTGGGTTGAAGCGGACACCGATTCTGGTATGGAGCTCGTTCCCTGCTTCACCGTCACTACGACCTGATCTCCGGGTTGAGCACTTTCCTGGCTAGTGGAGCTTTTGCTCAGCCGCAGCTCGTGCAGCAACTCGCGCATCTCCAAGCAGTGGGTGTGAAGAACTCCCAGTTGCTCTCTCAGAGCTGTATTCTCTTCCACCATCACCGGATCCATAGTTTCTTCTTCTTCCATCTGCTCCACGGCAGGATCCCCCGTCAAGGCTTTTCCCGGTTTACGCGTCTCGTGGCTCTTGAGGTACATTTTGACCTGCCGCTCAACCAGTTGAAGGAGCTTGGACAGGGCAAAGGTTAGGGCGAGTATCATCCAGAAGCTCATAGCGATGTCGAAGGCGCCGCTTAGAGGACTTGTTTCTGATGTTTTGTGGAGCACGTGCGGCTCAAACGTAATACCGGGCCGCTCTGAAAAGAATAATTCTTCAATTTCTTTGCAATAATACTTGAATAATAATAATACTTTGTAAGAAGGACCTTAAAGATCCCTTCGTTTTAGAATACAAAAAAGAAAAACAAGAAAGGAAGCTAACTTCGGAAAAAATCGTATTCAGCCAAGGGCGGTCCCTTAGCAAAATGTAATTAGGAAGTTAAACAATTTCCATTGCTTGAATCATCCAACTCACCTGTGGACATTTCCACGCGATAATCGGAGGCAGCGCGTCTCTGGATCTCGACCGCGTGCTGAAGGCAGAGTACAGCCCAGGAGAAAAAAGCCATTGCAAACAGGAACAGAAAACTTATGTTTTCAAACATGTTTTCCAGAATTTTTTATTGGTCTGCACAAGATCTTGTGCGCCTATAAAAACAACAACTAATTGAGGCGGATTCGTGTGGAAAATGTGGAAATAAATAACGAAGACATGTAATAGTTGAAGTTAAATAGCTAACCTGCTTTGATTGTTTAGCTTTCAGACTCGGCTTAATAAGATTATTCGAAGAATAAATTATATAAATAATAAGTTTTAAAAAACTAATTAACAAAGCTACGCGACTATAAGGTACCGGGCAAGCAAAGCTTTGTGCATAAAATTTAATTATCTTCCCATAAACCCAAATTTGAAGCCACGATTTGATACTCGATTGAACATAATTTAAGACACAATAAAGGAGATTAAAAATTAGTTATTAAAGGAGAATAATTAAGATGACATCCTTTGATATATTTCGCCAAGTTGAAGGCGATAAAAAATGTTAATAGCTATTGCTCTTTTATCTTTATCTATTTCGTCTATTTTAATTATTTTAGGAGCGAAAGTATTTGAATATTGTTACCAATTTCAACAAAAGACCTAATGCTTTTGTCTCTGAAAAGCACAAATATGGAATATGGGTTAGGGATTGAGAAAGTTAAGTTTTTCTACGGATGTCAATTCTTTATACTCAATGTTTTCAATACCGAACAATCTATAATGCCCAATACCTTACTAATTCTCGAAACCTATAGAAGAACTGTTTCACTTCGAAGGCGACAAAAATGTAATTATTTAACTAAAAATTTTTATTGAGACGATGTACTGCATTGCGTCATACTTGGGAGGTTAACCATAATTCAGGTCTGTTGAACGAACTGTAAGAGCTGTTAGTGTTTTCCTAATTTTCTTCTGTAAGCGGCAAGATCCAAATGGCCAGAGAGTTCTTCAGGGTTCTGCGGGCTTAACAACAACATCCTCCCCAGAATCCGGAACCACTTGGACAACACCAGGAGTTGAATGGCCCATTTAAGGGCCAAATGGTTTCAATGACCCAACATTGGTCATAGAATCCACTGGGTCCACAACCGCCCCAAGGGCACAATGCAGCGCAAGGACAGAAAGGATATCCGCAGAACATCTGGCTAGATCCTAAACAAATGTAAATAAAAGATTATAGATTTACCGTACTGGATGAACTCATAATTTCTACCTCACTCGCTTGACACAAAAATAGGAAAAGAAAATGAAATTCAGGTTCAACAGACCGAACGCTTTGAATATTGGATTACAACTGATATGGATAATAATAGTGGCATATGTAAGAGGAGTATAGACCCAGCGCCTACTAATCATAATATTATATTATATTCTCTTATATTGCCATTAAATGATTCATTATGAGTTCAAGAGATCAACTACGATTATCTTTTTCGCAAAGTTATGGCTGTTTACAGCCATAACTTCCCCTTCGACGACATTAGCATTTTCATTATGCCTTTAAGAAAACTTTAAACAATGATAACTTTGCGTATTTGATGTCTTGAAGACTTAAATTAAAGTATAATTATGTAACTGGAGGGACATGCCAACCAAATTTGTTGCGCCCTTCTACATAAATTTTTAGAAGATAAATTATAACTTGACTGTTTTTCAACATTTTTGCATCTTTTGAGATATGGCCATTCTATATTATTTCAGATTTTTGGTTTTAATTTTATGAAAATCGGACGACTTGATTATATGGCAGCTATAATATATAGTCGTCCGATTTTCAAAATATTAAAACCAAAATCCTTAAATATCTCAAAATAGATGAAAATATGTTGAAAAACAACGAAGTTCTAATTTTTGTCCTACATATTTTCCGATTGTTCCCATGATAGCTAGCCATATATAGCATTGAGAATAGTCAGAAGATTATATTATTATTATCGAATAAGAACCTAGTAACAAATCATTTGTAATTTATGTTTGGTAACCATTATTCGTCACGAAAAAAAAAATCTAGATTTTGGAGCACATATTCGTGTTCAGCGCAACAATATCTATCACCGCAGATTGTTCTGCTAACTGAATTATGCAGGCCTGTGTAGTTTACACTTAAATTTTACTCAAATGTGTAATACTTTCTGCGTGGGTATGAAAACCATAAAACCCACAAGGCCTCAAAAGCTAAGAGCGGAAATTAATGTGTTCGCATCAATTTACACTTTTTCCGTGCCAGAGAAACCTGAATAATTGAATTATATTAGCCAATATTTTGTGTAGCCTTTGTCGCGGCTATGCTCGCATCTCCATATGGATCCCATCCACACCTTAGTTCGCCATGAAGTGAGTAGTGACATATAATGTATAAATTAGATTCTAGGGGTTTTGGAAATGTACCTTTTAAAATTAATATAGGTGGAACCAAATTAAGTCATTTAAAAGTATTGGCTACTCTTCAAGTTTTTATACCCTTGCAGGGTATTACAATTTCAGTCAGAAGTTTGCAACAGCCGAGTCGATCTAGCCATGTCCGTCTGTCCGTTTCTACGCAAACTAGTCCCTCAGTTTTAAAGATATCTGAATGAAACTTAGCATATACACTGCGCGTCACCAGATTAGCGCCCCCCTTGGTGTTCGCGTTTGAAATGAAATATTATCCAAACTATTAAAGATTGAACTGTACAATTATTATCCAATATAATTCGATTAATTCTCTAAATAAAAACATATATTAGAAGGCAGTTGGTATTTGCATAGAATTGTATTAAGGGGGTCTTCTCATTGGGCAATTTTTTTTTTTCGATTTTTTTTTTTTTTTGCATTTATTTATAGCCTGGGATGGTGTGTATATGTCCCCAAAAGGATTTTTAGAAATTCGAAATACTTTAGAAGATACAGCCTTTTTTGTGAAGCAAGTTCTTCGCAAAATGAGCTTTTTTCAAACTTCAAACGCGTTTATCTCGAAACCACGTTTTTCGAACTGGCGGCCATGATATCTCCAGTTTAACTGAACCGATTTTCATGAAACAAAGTGGAGTCGACGCAGAATTGTCACCATTCTCGGGTGACGGAATAGATTTTTTTTTAAATTTTTTTTCTATTTTTTTTGTACACTAAACTACAAAAAAAAAGCCCGAAATCGAAATTTTTTTTTTGAATGGCCGCCATTTTGTTTCAAAAAATTTAAAAAAAAATCTGTTCCGTCACCCGAAAATGACATCAATTCTGATTATAACCCCGTTTTTATACCCTTGCAGGGTATTATAATTTCAGTCAGAAGTTTGCAACGCAGTGAAGGAGACGTTTCCGACCCTATAAAGTATATATATTCTTGATCAGCATCAATAGCCGAGTCGATCTAGCCATGTCCGTCTGTCCGTCTGTCCGTCCGTCTGTCCGTTTCTACGCAAACTAGTCCCTCAGTTTTGAAGCTATCTGAATGAAACTTTGCATATAGTCTTCTATATGCTCTCACTGCTATATATGTCGGAACGGGCCGGATCGGACGACTATATCATATAGCTGCCATACAAATGTTCGATAAATTTTTGGAAAAAAATTATAACTTGGCTGTTTTTCAATATTATTCCACCATTTTTGGGATATAGCCTTTTTTATTATTCCAGAATTTTGGTAAAAATTTTATGAAAATCGGACCACTATATCTTATAGCTGCCATAGGAACGATCGGGAAATTAATCGAAAAAAATTATAACTTCGTTGATTTTCAACGTATTTTAATCTACTTTGGCACATGAGCTTCTGGTATTATTTCAAAATTTTGGTATAAATTTTATGAAAATCGGACGACTATATCTTATAGCTACCATAGGAACGATAGGGAAAGTAATAGAAAAAATTATAACTTCGTTGTTTTTTAACGTATTTTTATCTACTCTGAGATATAAGCTTTACTTATTATTATAGAATTTTGGTATAAATTTCATAAAAATCGGACAACTATATCTTATAGATGCCATAGAAGCGATCGGTAAATATATAAAATATATAAAGCTGGGAATGTAAAACTGTAACTGTCAAACTGTAAACATAATAAGAATAGGTAAAATGTTATGAAACTCTGTTTAGTGTCTGTTTTCGGCATTATAATTTATAATATAAATATGAAAACCAATCTGCAAGGGTATACAAACTTCGGCGTGCCGAAGTTAGCTTCCTTTCTTGTTATTTTTCATTTCGGACGCTCTGGAGACCCTGAATCGTGGCCGCCAGGACGACACCTTTTTTTTCGACCACCAAGTTTGCAGTCTCATTACTCTTTGAACAACCCTCATATCGAGGCAAGAACAACTTTTTTAGTTACTTTGAACATTTTTGAATACAATAAATAAAAAAAGTTTTCAATTATTCTTTGCGTTTTCAAATAAGAATTTTTTTAAAAAGGGTCCAAAAAACAGCTTTTGAATGAGAAGACCCCCTTAAATTAAAAACTAAAGAAACAGGTTTATTTGGAAGAAAAAACTGCGTCATCAGATTAGCGCCCTCAAAATATAAATTTAAATATCTTTCTTAACTTGCTGAGCACAGCAACCATTTTTTTTTGCTGTTAAATTAAACATTTTTCTTCAATTTGACATACAATATGTGCAGAGGAACAATCTTATCTTCGGAGGAAAAATCGAAAATCGAAGCGTTCAATGAATGTGGACTTTCTCTTCACAAAATCGCCGAAAAACGGGAAGACATCGCAAAACCATTGCACATTTTCTTTAAAATAAGGAAAGCTATGGAAAAAATTACAAAGGAGGTAATAACAGTGTTGTTAGTTCAGCAGATCGCAGAGCTATACTCCGAGAGGCGTCCAACTCCCACGACTCGACCGCCAAAATAATAGAAAAAACTGGTGTTAAGGCAAGCAAATCGACTGTTTTAAGGGTGATCAAGAATGCCGACCATTTAAAGAGGCTAAAACTGAAAAAAAAAGCCACCTCTTAACCAAGTGCGAAAAGAAATCCGCCTAAAGTTTGCTCGAACGCATATGACATGGTCCAATGAGTGGCATAACGTCGTATTTTCAGACGAAAAAAAATTTAACCTGAGGGTCCTGACGGATATAATTACTATTTCCAGGATTTACGCAAGGAAGAGCATCATCTGGATCGCTTACATAGCCGGGTTGGAGGAGTAATGGTATGGGGAGCCATATCCTATTATGGCAACTGCGAACTGCAGTTTTAACCCCAAAGATGAACGCGGAAAATTACAATTGCGTTCTAAAAACTGCATTTCCCGTTTTTAAAAACTTATTTGGAAATCTCAAATGGCATTTTCAGCACGACAATGCCCCAATCCACACAGCCACGACCGTAAAAGCATGGATTCAAAAGGAAAATGTCAGTGTCCTGGAGTGGCCCCCATACTCCCCAGACCTGAACATAATAGAAAACGTCTTGGGATGGTTAGCTAGGAAGGTGTACGAGGCTGGCAAGCAATATGCTACCAAGGAGGATTTAATTCACAGTATAAAACAGGCCTGGACAACAATAACGTTGGAATATCTCAAAAACTTGTATGACTCTCTCCCCAATCGAGTTTGTGATGTCCTTGTAAACAAGGGAGGGACAACCCATTATTAAATTTCCTTAAAAATGCTTAAACTTAATCATAAAATTGTTAAAGATAGTATTTTGTAAGAACTTCATCAAAAAAAGTTAAGTTAATGTAGCTGGCGCTAATCTGATGACGCAGTTTTTTCTTCCAAATAAACCTGTTTCTTTAGTTTTTAATTTAATAAAATTCTATGCAAATACCAACTGCCTTCTAATATATGTTTTTATTTAGAGAATTAATCGAATTATATTGGATAATAATTGTACAGTTCAATCTTTAATAGTTTTGATAATATTTCACTTCAAACGCGAACACCAAGGGGGGCGCTAATCTGGTGACGCGCAGTGTATGTATAGCATTTTATTGGCTTTTTTTTAGTATAGCATAGTATAGTATAGTATAGTATAGTATAGCTATCATTATTAATTACAGAATTTCTGTTTCATATCAAACTGTAGAAACTATCTCTAAATGTATAGACAAACAAAAGCAGTAATAAAAGTTTACATTGGTGAGTTGTTCTCATAAGATATCCCTAAGATGGAGGCAGTTTATGCAATTAAAAATATATATTTTAATATGAATAAATTCGAATTACTTTCTAATATAGTTTCCAAAGGACCAATTGGTCATTCAATATATTTAATGAGCATTAAAAAAATCAGCAAATCTTTTCACACATAAATTTTCAATAAACATATATGAAATGAAACATAGCTGAAATGGCATATAAACTTCGACGTCCGGAAACAAAGTTTCTGTTTTTTT